GTATGGAACTGTAATTTGCTGCTAGATATAATAATCTCTAGTGCATTATAATTTTTAGAAAGCGATCTTGACTGCAAGTTGGGACTATATATATATCGATAGTGTTTTACTCCTCCTGTCATTTTGTTTTCCGATAAAAGTTCTCAGTGCCATTATTCATTCCAAAGCCTCTATCTCAAAGGTGAAAGTTCAACTTCACGGGTACACTCTTCTGGATCGGTGGTTCTCACTTGCAAATACCCTTTTGTTGTTGGTGCTGGAGCTTGTTGGCGGTACCCGATCGCCAAACCGACACAGAAAAACCGAACAAATAGAAACCCAGCAAAGGAACCCACAACAAAGAAAATAAATCCTGATAGCGCACCAGAAACGTCTTTGTTGGAAGACGTAGCGTAATGGGGAGTTGGGGTATAGTATGAAGTTGGGGATGCAGACGGGGTAGAAGTTATTGTTTTAGCATCGTCCGGAATGTCATGGATAAAGTAGCTCGAATCCGCTTTGCAAACCGTTGCACTATTCGTAGTGGCTTCGGCAAACCCAAGTCTCTTCCGACCGAAGTCAAATACAGTGTAGTATTTGCGCAAAAAGTTCATGCCGAGTAGCCACCCGGGAAATCCCGGAACTCCTTCCAAGTTGAGGGTACAAATAGGTGAATGACTGTCAACTTCAATTTCTCGGAAGGGCTCTGAAGAAGTCAAGTGATATGATTTCCCATCAGCAACGAATGTCAAAGACGTCGAGGATTCAGTTTCAGAACAGTAAGTAGCAGCAAAATCGTAACCAAATGGATCATCGCACTGAACTTCTTCAAGAAAGTCTTCCACGCTATCGGTACACACAAAACATTTCACACCGAGCTTCTTCGCGATGCGTCCTACCGTTTCTTGTGAAGAGACGGACCAGGTGGCACCGGAGTCCACCATTGCTAGGCTGGACGAGGGGATTTCAGTCGATCCAACCTTGACTCCATCCAGGGCAAAATCCCAGCATCCCTTGAAGGCTTTGCCTTTGGCTCGAAACTGACCGAGTTCATGCCATCTCAAGCAGTTTCTGTATCGTTTTGGGTTCACTCCGCCAACGGTGAACTCAGATTCAGCGGAAGCTGGTGGCTGGCCTGGAATCGGATAAGCACTATCAGTTGTTTTGTTCATGAAAAGCTGGTAGTCGTTGTGATCGGTCAAATATAGAGAGAACATGGTAATTTGCTGTTCTTTCAAATTGCTGAGGAGAGCAGGGAAGTTTTGACTGGAGATTTCCCTAAGGCCAAGTCCTAATAATCCAACTTCGTTGCACAACTTTGTATTGTTGATCACGGAAGAAGCCTGGGCGAACACTTGGTTAGGGATCTCGATGTCTCCCAGTGTAAGAGTATCGTATCCATGTGTACCTTCGATAATGGTATCATCCATGTACTCAATATGAAAGTCCGATTTGGTTGCCTCTACTGGTCGGAAAGTAGATGACCTGGAGGCGTCGTATCGGCTAATGCTGGAAGATGTGCATAGGTCCCGTCGCAAAGAGAGGAATCGACCCATAGATCGGAGCTTCCTGTGTCAATAATTACCGGCAGTGATTGGCCTCCGATCGTGACGTTTACGATGTAGAAAGAACCATCGCAATTTGATACCGCCAGATTACTGGCTTTCCGTTCGCCCTCTCTACGTGGGGCTCCTGGTCTTTTGTTGGTAGCCACCAAGCGACCTTTCATAACCGGTCCTACCTTTTCAAGACTACGATTGCGGACGGAACGATGCTCTTCCAAGACGGCTCTAAGTGCAGAGCTCTTGGACAAGGCTGCCGATAGGGTACTAGCCTCTAGAATGCGGTGTTGCTGTGCCATGATTCTTTTTGTGTCTACAGGATGATGTTGCTTGTTAGATGCTGTCTCTGGATTGTCTTCTGGACGCTCGATCTGATGCTTGGATGCTGTGTAAAGAAGGCGAAGTAGAGATTATGGACAGGCAGTGGCTCTCCCAGTCCTTGCCAAAAAAAGCTACAGTATGTGGTCATGTGATGATCGGAAACCACAGAAAATAGGCGATACTACGGACATTCATCGATCTTGTGTCCAACTGACTAAGGACACCAAAAAACCAATATTAATAGCAAAGGGGAATTTGCTCGCGTTCATAGTTGTTCGTGGCCGCGCGTCAGATTTTTGGAATTTATCGACGACTGTTTTCTGAAAGAAAAAAGGACTGCCTTCGCCCCCAGGACGCGTTTCAACTTGAAACTATAATATACCTTCGTTTCTATTTTCATCATTCAACAGCTGTTTGCTTGGAATTTAGATTATGCCAATGTTCTATAACTCATCGTTATAGCCATCACTGAGCATCTTACGTTAGTATGAAGCCCGATGCCGTGGAGCCTGCGGCGCACTTTGAAAAGGAGAACCACAAACTTATCCAGAATGATGATCTGACCATACCATCGCATTCACCAGGGATCATTCGTAGCTGGATACCATGCAAATGCTGCAAAACTTGCAAGAAAGCGATGATCTAATGGGGAAAAGCCAGCGTATCCATTCATGTATTTGGCCAAATGCTTCAATGATTGAAGAAGTCGCTGCCTTGATGATCGAGACATTGGATACTTTGCATCATCGAATCTCGAGCTCCAGCCTACAGCCACGGACAAAGTGACTTTTCGATGAGAGCCCTCAAGGTCTTTGAAATCAACCCCCGTCATCCTTTTATTACCAAGCTCTTGGAAGTGCACCAGAGGAAGATGCCGACGATCCCGTCGTGGCCCCCGAAGTCGAAGAGGCTGCTTGGATTCTTCACGAAATGGCCATGCTCAACGGTGGATTCCCATTGACGGACCCTGAATCACACAGCAAGCGTATGATGAAGTTCATCCAATCCAACTTGAATGTAGAATCTCTAACTTCCAGTGGAAAAAAGAGGCCCCAGATGTGGATGACATGGACCTTGGTGACCTAGGTGATCTATCCGACTTTGATCTTGACGGTATGGAATTGTAATTTGTTGCTAGATAATCTCTAGTGCATTGTATTTTTTAGAAAGCGATCTTCATTGCAGGTTTGGACTACATCGATAGTTCTTTTTTACATTTTGAATTCCAGAATGTCTTCATTGTTTGCCATTTCTACGATTGCGATTGTCGTTTGGTGGTTTGGACGCCTACAGTACAATTGAACGTAAATTAGGTATTGTATCACAAACAAGACTACACTATCGCTATTTCCGGTGTGCTCGCTATCGGTATAGATGAAACATTCCAGATCGAGCGTATATACAAGGCTCCGTACCATTGCTTGTGGGCCGATGGACAAGGTGGTTCCGGAGTCCACCATTGCTACACTGCAAGAAGCTAGGATTGATCCTCCTAACGTGACTCTTTCTAGCACGAAATCCCAGTATCCCCCGAAGGCTTCGTGATTATCTCGACTTTATGCCATCTCAGACAGTTTTTGTATCAGACAGTTTTTGTATCGTTTTGGGTTCACACCACCAAAGGTGAGCTCAGATTCGGCCGAAGGCCGCCCTGGAATCGAAAAACCAATATGGGTTGTTTTCTTCATGAAACGCTGGTGATTTTCGTGATCGGTCAAATACAGAGAGAACAGCGTATTTGCTGTTCTTTCAGGTTGCTGAGAAGCGAATGAGAGTCTCGGCCAGAGATATCACTAAAGCCAAGTCCCAGTGTTCCAACTTCGTCGCACAAGTTTGTATTGTTGATCGTGGAAGAAGCCTGGAGGAAATTTGGTTAGGGATCTCGATATCTCATAGTCTAAGAGTATCGAATCCAAGAGTACCTTTGATGATGGCCTCGTCCATACCGGACTCAATATGCCTCTACTGGTCGATACCTAGATGATTGAGAGGCATCGTATCGGCTGCTGCTGGAAGATGTGCATGTCTCGTGACAAACTGAGGACTGGACCCATAGATCCGAGCTGCCAGTGTCAATCTTTACCGGCAGCGATTGACCTCCGATTTCGATGTTTGTAATGTAGACACTGTCATTGCAATTCAATATCATAGCGGCAAATTGCTGAACCTTCGCTGTTTTCCGGGGTTTCCTGATTCTTTGGAAGTCTTCAAATCTCGGGGCCCTTACATGCTGCGTCCCTTGATAGCGCAAGTCGCATCTTTTCAAGCATGCGGTCGTGAACAGAACGATGCTCTCCCAAGACTTCTTGGAGGGCGGGGTTCTTTATAAGGCTGTTGATAGGGCAGGCGGTGTTGCTTTGTAATGATTTTTGTTGAGTACGTAGGATTTGATCTGGTTAGATGCTCGTTCTGGATCGTGTTTTGGGCACTCTATTTGATGCCCGCCAACAAAATATGTTTTCACGGTGTTGATGAAGTAATAAGCTGTCATTGCTTTTATGAGTGATGAATGACTGAAGAAGCCCGTACGGCCTTCGTCCGTATGGATAATATTTTGATCCATTTTATATGGTACGAGTACGTGTACCATGGTACCATATATTCTCGTATTCAGTATCTACTGTCTAGGTGCGTACGTTTGAAAATGGCAGTCAGAATGCTCGAAATTTGACTGGAGGAAATTATTTAGAGACGCCTTGTATTATACTTTTGGAACTCTTCATTCTAGTACCATGCTGCGATTCCGATTGTGTTTGGGCCGTCTACTACCGGTGCAATCGAACATTTTACACCACACTATCCTTATTTCCCAGCTACTGTGTCAAAGCTGGAAGTTCAACTTCCCACCTTTTTGCAACTTCCTCCTCGTCTGGATCGGTAGTTCTCACTGGGAAATGTCCTTGTGTTGGCGCTCGAGCTTGACGATGCCCGATAATCACCCCAGCAAGGCAAACCCCAACAATGAAAAATCCAGCAAACAAGATCCGAATCAAGGAACGAAACCCTGATAGTAGCCAACCTTCGTGTGCAGTTGGACTGTGGTTTGGAGATGTGGAGGGAACAGATGCTGCTGGTTTCGCTTGGTCTGGCATGACTCGAGTAAAGTAGCTGGAATCCGCCTCACACACTGTTGAACTTTGAGCGGTTGCCTCGGCAAATCCAAGTCTTTTACGACCGTAGTCAAACACAGTGTAATACTGGCGCAAAAAGTCCATGCCGAGAACCCACCCAGGATGTCCAGGAACTCCTTCCAAGTTGAGAACACAAATACGGCCTCCTAGGAGAGAGGCTTCTTCATGGAAGAGCTCTGAAGGAGAAAAGTGATATGCGTTCCCATCAGCGACAAATGTCAATGCCTGCATGGAGTAACTGTAAGAACACTCAATATAAGCAGCAGCATAACCAAATGGATCATCGCAATTAACAGGGATGGAATATTCCCCACTCTCGGTTCGATTTCTACAAGTCAAACCTAGCAACTTTGCGAAGCGCCCTACAGATTCTTGTGGGCCGGCGGAGAAGTCCTTACCGGAGTCTACCATTGCTAGACTGGAAGAGGATAATTCTGTCGATCCGACCTTGACTTGGTCCAGGGCAAAGTCCCAGTATCCCTTGAAGGTTTCGCCCTTTTCTGGAAACTGACCGACTTCATGCCATCGCAAGCAATTTTTGTATCGTTTTGGGTTCACCCCGCCAAAGGTGAGCTCAGATGTGGCTGAAACTGGTGGCATCTGACGAATTATTTGTTCTATATGGGTTGTTTTGTTCATGAAGCTTCCGTAGTCGTTGTGATCACCCAAATACAGAGAAAACACGGCAAGTTGCTGTTCTTTCAAATTGCTGAGAAGGGAAGGGAAGTTGTGAATGGTGAAATCACTAAAGCCAAGTCCCAGATATCCAACTCTATAGCACGACCTATTTGGGTAAATTGCGGTAGAAGACTGGGCGAAAACTTGGCTAGGGATCTCGATATCTCCCAGAGTAAGAGTATCGTATCCATGAATATTTTCACCCGAGTAGTTGGCTGGTCGGAAAGTAGATGATTTCGAGGCGTTGTATCGACTGTTGTTGGAAGTTGTGCACGTCTCGTCGCAGAAAGAGGACTCGACAAATAGATCTGCGGTGCCACTGTCAACTAGTACCTGCAGCGATTGACCTCCAATCTTGATGTTTGTAGTATAGATAGCGCCCGCGCAATTCGATACTGGCAGGATGGTAGGGTTTTGTTCGTTGTTGGGGTTTCCGAGGGATTTAGTAGCCAAGTGCCTTCGCATGTTGGGTCCGTTGCCAACAAGTTCTGCATTGGCAAATGGGCTCCTAGAAACAGAGTGGTGCACTTCGAAGGCTGGCGACAGGGTACTGGCCTCGAGAATGCGATGTAGCTGTGTCATGGTTCTTGATGTGTCTGGTGCAGTATGTATGATCGGATTAGATGCTGTTTCTGGATTATCTTTTGGGCACTCGATATGATGCTCACTTACTCGGATGCTGACTGAAGAAGGGGCAGTCGAGATTATGAACACAGGCAGTGGTCATCCAGCCTGCCAAAAAAAGAGTAAGTGATCACGTGGTGTTGATCAGAAACCACAGAAAATAGGCGATACCCATGACTTTCGATCTTGGGTCACAACTGACCAAGAACACGCTGCACATTCCTAAGGCCAACAGATGGTCTTTTTTACAAGAAAGCGGGAATTATAGGAAGGCTATTTTTATTTGCCGTGCGTCATATTAATATTTTGGATTTATTGCACAAAAAGTTTTATCACGATTTGCACAATTTCGTTTCATTCCATACTCCAACGTAGACCGCAGGCACACTGTTCGATGTCTTTGACTACATTGTGTTACAGACGGACAAAGGCCGAACGGCCTTCGACCGTCAAAAGTTGTTGTCGATGCGCCGAGGCAATGATGCCCATTTATCGACTGAGATTGAATTCACCCTGTTAGATAATAAAAGACCCTACGATACTCTGAGACGATCAGTCTTCAGTTGTTCGGCGTAACGTAGTCCTAATACTATGAACCTTAAAGTTGTTAATAAAACTTGCTTTAGTTGGGATAAGAATTTTCGAATGGCCAAAGCAAACTCATGCTTTCGGTCATCCCAAAACTCTCTACGCAGTTTTAAACTACTGTAATTCAATCGTTCATCTTTCGAACAACATCTGCCCATGACTGGTTCCCCATACTCTCACGGTTGATGTATGACGGTTTAGACTCGTCACTATCTGACTCAGGGGAGTCGTCTGTACGACTTCCAACACGCTCCTTGACTGATTCTTCCTCATCATCCTCTAGTAGAGAATCGATGTGTTTGTATCCTAAAACCACATCGCGAAACTTTCGAAACAAACTACCTTGCAAAGGTTTGGTGAAAAAATCCGCCAGCATCTTCGCGGTCGGACAGTACACCACATCGATTCCCTCAGACAACAATCGATCCTTAATAAAATAAAAACGATTGTCGATGTGTTTCGACCTTTTTCCGGCTGACTTCTTACCGTTCAAAAGGATCTTCATGGCGCTCTGATTGTCCTGGTACAGAGTGTTCTTTTCCAGTTCAAAACCCTGCTGTTCCAAAAACATCCTCACCCAAATCATGTTCGGCAAAAAATCGCTCACGCCCACGACTTCTCCTTCAGTTGAGCTCTTCACATTAAGCCCCTGTTTCTTACACATGGTCGAAATCACCCCCCAGCCGAAAGAGATGCATCCTCCAGTGTGACTTTTGCAGTCGTCGTGGATTCCATACGAAACATCCACCCATGCTTGCATTCTTCTGATGTTGTCTCCACCAATGATTCTTGTTAAATCTATCGATCCTTTCAGATACTGCAAGACTCTCTTGAGCTTGACCCAATCGTCTTCATCTGGGCATCCTACTCTAGTGCACAAGTAACCGATGGCGGTTTGAATGTCTAGACGGCATCGTCTTGAGACGTACAAAAGTGACGCTGTTACGCTGTGAAAATTGTCAGCCCTTTCCTCGTTTAAATCTTTCGCAGCTTCTCTCACATCAAAAAGATAGGCCTTGGCAGGCGAAGTTGCCTCTCTATTGATATCATCCATAAACATGTCGATCGCCTTCTGAATGTGTTTCTTCATGCTGATCTCCACCTTTCCGTCTTTGTATGTTATCTTCATTCCCAAAAACTCGTGCTCTTCGCCGAACTTGTTCGTCATCTTGCCGAACTTGGCTTCAATCTTCCCGATGATATCCTTTACGACCTCCAATCTCATATGGCTGATCTTGTTGTCGTCAACATACCAGCAAATCGTGCATTGCTTTCCATCAATGTCACAGTTGGCGACGCACAGATCGTATGGATTAAGCTTGAAGCCCATATCCATGAGAGTTTCCGAGTAAAGTTCATACCATAGCATCGAGC